GTCGGGTGCGTACGATTTGTGCTCCCTAAGCCCCGAGCCAGAAATCGCAAGCCCTTGGCACTTTGGCGCATGCAGGACAATCTGACCAACTCGGCAGTGTTTACGTCCTTCGCCGCCGGCTCAGCCTCTCAACGGTCGGGGGTTGAGTGTAGGATCACGGGCTGTTATTTTTTGTCTAGAATTTACGGCTTATAAAATTGTGTAGCAGGTTAGGATCCAGCATTTAGGCAAGCCCGCAGATGAAACCTTGACAAGGCGGTCAGTTCTGCATGCTTGAAAACAACGTATGAACAGCCGTATGTGCGAAAACTGTTCCTTCACGCGCTATTAGTATATCTTCATCTTGCCTACCTGGCGCCCGTTCAAAAAGCAAACTTAATCCTCAAACACTAAGACAGCCCAAATTTGGAGGTTGGAACCGCAGGATACCTGAGCCCTGAGATGGTCGCGCGGCAGGCGTCGCATGTTTTTTCTTCATGTCTCGGGGTCAAGGATGTCTACGACCCCAGCTCCGTATCAATGCAAAGGTTTTCAGGGATCAGGGATCCGACCCAGTTGAAGTTTGAGTGGCTTCGGAGTTGCATGGTCCAGGGGTGTGGTGAGGGCCTGCACTTGGAGTGGGCATGGGAACACTCGCATTTAGAGGCTTTACTCAGTGGTCCGAGATTCTTGTTCGTATAGATTGTTGCCTTCGTGCCGGCGGCTTTCTGTATTGTCAGAGTGTCTAATTACTTGCAACGTATCAGGTCTTGGCGTATACTGTTCCAACCAGCTTCGGATCTACTTTCGAGAGCACGACGCTTCATTTCCCTTGGGATTGCGGGGATCTTACTCGTCTCTTCGAGCTCCTATACATACACTCCTGCACCCAAAACGACTTCGATCCAAAACCGCCTAGAAGCCGTCCTGGCACCGCGAAACCCGAGACCAAACGGCAGCCTCAAAGTGGGTTCGATGTGTGAGAAAGACCAGAGCAGGGGCATGGTCTTCCCTTGGACTACTACTGCCTTGGCTGCCGGATGCCCGGTTGAGGGTCAGTGTTCTTTCAGAGAGACTTTACAGTGCGTCGTAGGGTTTGAGGTGTGTGATTTACGAATTTATGGTTGAGGTTTGAGAACAGCACAATGATCGAGTTTTTGGACTTAAGGTTTCGTGTGCCGGATCTAGGGTTTCGGAGTGATAGGGTGCCGGGTGAGAGTGGACTTCGCTTCCGGTATTTGTGTTCCATTTCTCTTCAGGTTCTAGGGATTCAGGGTGCAAGGTTCATGAGTTCATGCTCGTAAAGCAAAGGGTTACGCGAGTATTGCTGCTGCGAGTTTACAGGAGCCGGCAGCTGCTGTAAAGAATGAACAGTGACTATTCATCGGATCAAACCCCAAACCCCTAAAGAACAGTAAACCCAAACATCCTGAACCGTCCAAACGTCAGAAGCCTAAAATCCAAAATCCAACATTCTGAACTTCCCAAACTCTTATATACATACATCTAAAACCCCCAAACTTGGAAATCGCGAAGAGCAGCTGCAGGCTTGTTGTATTGCCTTCTCACCGGCTCTCTGCCGCACTACGAGGGGGACTACAAGGAGAGCCCGTGTTGATGAGTTTTGGGGTTTCAGAGGCTTGTAGAGGGGTTGCAGGAATTTTGACGTCTGGGGCAGAAGGTTTAGTGTCAGGCTCAGGGATTGGAGGGTGTGCAGTTTAGGAGTTTTCTGGCTTACGGCGTCTGGCTAAAGGTCCAACCTGGCTTGAGCCTTCAGGGCATGGCATTTAAGATCTAGTTTGCAGGGTTCAGCATGTATGGGATATAGGATGTAGGGTTTTCGGCTTCTTCAGCTCTTTCCTTCTGGCGATTATGATTATGGCTATAAGGTGCAGGCCACAACTATAGGTGTTTAGCCAGTTATGCAGTATAGTTGTTGGGGGCCGGGGGCTTAGGGGTTTCTTGAGGACTTCTTCTAAGGACTATGAAGAGGTCATGGTTGCTGTTTTCGAATTTGGATGCTTTGTAGCTTTGTGTTATCTTGCGCAACATGCCTGACCTTGCTTCTGGGTTCCGTCAGCGTACGTCAGTTAAGGGTTCAGGCTTTATGTGGTCTGCAGGATTAGGCAAACGGTTGTATGGCAGGCCTCAGCAAGTCAATGTGAAGTTTTCTGATTTGGCAATTTAATCGACATTGTATAGTGCTTAGTGCTGAGAGGGGGCAATCGGTAAAATTGCAGACAGCTTCGACCCCGTAAAACCCACCCTCAAGCCTCAACCCTACACCCACAGGCAGTTTATGGTCTAGCAAAGCAATTTAAACGAGGGAAGTTCGGTCTGATCAGGTACCCGGTGTAGTTCCCCCCCCCTCACACACACACACAGCAAAGGCAGATGAACATGCCCGTGATGCGACAGAAGTTGGCGAAATTCTTTGCTCGTAATTTGCAGGTTAAGGGCGTAGAGTTTCAGATAAACATTATGTTGCTTGTGGCGACAAGGGCGCCCACCATGCGAAGTGCCAGTCGCATTGGTTGTTTCTTTTCGATACTATGCTTTCTAGTAAAGTAGCCTAAGCCCTAAGATGTATCAGATTCCGTTGCTGAACGGCGGAGTGCCATATCATGCGAAACGAACCCTGGTTCAGGGACAACTCCGACACCAAGTGACCCTTAGGTCCTCTGACAACGGTCAAGAAGCAATGTCACAGGGAGATTTAGTCTCGAGAGCCCTCTGCCCTAAACCCTACAGCTGGCGAGATTTGAAGCTACGCCCGCACACTGCGGAGCCGCGTAAGCCCCGAATTGTGGCTGGCATGGAAGATTCGACAGCTCCTGGAGGCCATGATCCAGAAGAGGGTGAAGGGCGACCCTGTGCAGTTTCCGTCAGCGTCTCATGGTGGCTCGGGATTACAGTGTACATGGTTTCGGTTTGCGGTTAAGCGTGTCGGCCAAACACTTCGTTGCTCAAACTCGGAGATCCCTGCAGCCAAACCCATCCGTCATAAACTGGCTCGCTTGAATTGCCCTGAACTTCCGCACGACATGCAGCCCGACTCATCCCGGCAACAGCAGGCGAAGCCACTTTGCTACTCAGCCACCCATGACCGACTTGTTCAACAGATTTCAACAGTATCCGTGAGACTGAGACCCAGATCCAGGCAACGACAACTACGACGGCGAAACTGACTGCGACTTACCCCCAACGTCAACAACATCGAAACTACTATATCGGCAAGAGAGCTTGACCCATTAGACTCTACGTCGACTGAACTACCTCCTCCTCATAAAGTGTAGGGTCCGAACCTTAAACAAGGCATCAATCCGAATCCCCAAGCCAGATTGAGGTTGGAGAATCCAGGTTTCAGATAGCATCTTAGTCTTCAACGCCCACCGCTCAGGCCTTGGGTGCACCAAGATGCGCAGGGGCTGCTTTCAGGCCGCGGATCGATCTTGGACTCCTAAGCCCTGGCATGCTGGCTCTTTGAAGGGACCCTAGGAGACTAAGCGTCCCTTCATCAATCCGTCCTCAGCTCGACTTGTTGACTCCGTAGTAGGCGCATTCGCTTCCATCTGGTGTTGTGAGATTCAGCAACCTGGGCCGTAGAGGTTCTGGCATGGTTTTAGATCGTGGTGCCTGGCAGAGAGAGGGGGGGGGAACACTCAAGGCTTTTGGAAGTTTGTCACGCAGGAATGATGACTATCAGAGGGGTAGGAGCGCCCAAGACGGGGATTGAGGATTAGACGGTATAGGCTTTAGGGTTAGGATGTAGGTAGGGCGCGTGCTGTCGAGGTTTGCTGCAGCCAGACCCGGCTTACCCGGCGCGTTTGCGCTGACGTCTCCGGTATGTTAACGTTTTTGCTTGGTTGTCCCTTGGGCGCGTGGATTGCCGCGAAGTATCTGAATCTAATCTAGTCGTGCTGAGAACTGTGGGATCGCAGTCCGTGAGGTTCGGCTTTGAAAGTAGCTGCTAGCTGCCAGCTGGTGAGTTGTAGCTAAGCTCGCGTTACATGGACTCTCTAAGGCTCTACTAGATGCCGTTAGTTGTGTAGAAGTCGAATGTTACACAAGGTTTGAAAAAAAACTCAGGAACCCTAAGCCAAGGAAGCGTTACGCTTGAGGTTGGATATTTTAAGGCAGAGCCTGTTGCATCAGCAGGAGATGCGGGGTCCTTCTGCCTAACTGCCAGTTTACTCGCATGTGTAGTGTTTTGGGCCTGGCTTTTGCGCCATTTCGGTGTCCGTTCTGTTGCCTCCGTTTCACAGGTTTTGCTCTACAGGCATTTCTTTCACATCGGATCCATGGCATGCTGTCGTTATCAAAGCTCCTTTGGCCTTTCTGGTGTCTCGGGTTTCGTTCTCCCCAAGCCCCAAAAGGTGGGATTGTTTCCAACCTCTAAGAAGCCCTGTGGGGCGCGCCCCCCCCCACCACCACGTACATGCAAAACGCAAGCTGAGATCCTTCATCCGGTGCCGGCCCAAGCTAGAGTGCATCGGCACCGACAAGTTGTGGAACTCCGGAGCCCGAGCTGCCATGCGCCAGCCCAGACCCTCGACCCACTCTCATGGCTCACAGCACCTGGCTGGATTTATTGGTGCTCTGCCTAGCATAAATGCCACATCCTGGCTTTTATGGTAGCACGGATGCGCAAGTGTTGTTCCAGATCCAGCAGTGAACGATGCTAAGCTGCTATGCTCAGACGTACAGGCTCTCCGAGAAGTTTATATCCCAAACCGAAAATGTTAGGTCGAATACCTCCATGCCCTTTTGAGTAAGCTCACAGAGAGCTTGACCCCAAAAACGTCGCGGACCACAACACGAGATAGGGGCTTGCACAGCAGCATTCGTTACTAACGGGAAGGAGGCGCCCAGTTTTCCGTAGAGAGTCTACTTCGGCGAAAGACTGTGATTTCAGCGCCCAGGATCCTGCACCGCATCCCCCTCCTAAGCCGAAATATCGAGAACCCCCGAGAACTGCCCCGCCGCCACCGCACCATGCACCGGTTGTAGCGATCCGAGCTATGTGGGCTCCTTTCTATGTCACGGGCTCAGTCCCAAGCCTGTCGTTCCAAGGTGTTATGGCCGTGAGGGCTGCGGTCGGTTTGGGGGTTAGGGCTTACAAGTCCAGGCCTTAGGGTTCCAGGTTCAGTTCGGCTTTAGCATTCATAGTTTCACGGGCTGAGGGTTTGGTATTTTAGTTTCTTTCTGGGTCATGGGAGTGTTGCTGATGTTTTAACGGGATGAATGTGCCTGGAGAGAGAAATGAAGAGCCGGAGCGGTCTCGCCTTGCCAAAGTTCCGGCTCCTTTTCGCGAAATCCTTGTTGCAGTGACGGGGAGTAGCCATTTCGTCTTGTCAAAGAATCGCAAGAAATCTGTGATGCTTCGCATATAGTGATGAAGTCAGCTCCAACACACTATCTCTTAAACCTAAGACCTACCTCCTGAGCCTTCTTATACAACCCCGACATAGAACCCTTACGAAGAACAGACCGTTTCTGGTTACGTAAGACATGCACCTTTTAACCGAACACCTGCCGAACAGGATTTGCCACGGGATTTCGGCTGCGAGCGGTCGAGCTGGGAAGCTTAGCTCTGACTGAGAAGCTGGCCCCAAAAATTTCACAACGCCCTGCACGCCCTGAGCCTTTGCTTGGAGCTTGATTGTTCAGGGTTTTCGGGTTTGGGGCATGTCGGGGTTCGAGTTTCGGTTGAAGGGCTGTGGGGCTTTTGCATTTGCATTTGTTAGGATAGCGCGACGAAGTGGGGTTTTGTGGTTTGGGGTTTCGGGTTAAATGTTTACGGTTCACGACCGAGCAATGACTGGGAACCCGATAAGCCATGAATCATACTGAAGAGCTTTTGTTCGACGAATTCCTCGTTTTCTTGCGGACTTAAGGACCCCTGGGACACTTCACTTCAGTTCAGGACTTTCTGTGAGATTCAGGGTGTTTGGGCGGTCTGGTTTTCGGGGTTTCGCGATAGGCTTGCGATTTCAGCTTCAAAACCTCGAACCCCATGACTCTGCCTTGGGAAACGGGTGCACCGAACTTCGGGGAAAACATGTCTACCGGAGGTTAAGCAAGCCCTTGTAAGCCCTAGACCCCGATACGACTTCAAAGGCGCTTCGACCCCCGCGCCGCCGCCGGCGGACGAGGAGGTGCAGCCCAGAGACAGGTTTAGCGCTGATAAGCCTGGGGCATTGAGGGTTTCGGGTTCAAGTTGTTTTTTTTTTGGGGGGGGTAGTGCGGAGCTTACATCGTCAGGCTCCAGGTTTGTCACGACTCTTAGTTTGCGCAGGGGTTGTCAGTAGCAATCTCGGCGAATATTCTTGGAGGGGTATTATACTAACTTCTGGTGTCTTAGGGATTTGAATCCGAGTTCGGTTTGAGGCGATGGTTTAGAGCTCAGAATCTGAGCAGAACCGAATCTTGTCGACTGCATTTGGTAGTTGAGCCCTTTGGGGTGTGACGGGAAGGTCAAGGTGGTTATGATCTGAGAAGCTTCCAAAATATCTGAGCCGGCTGTTCGCACCCATCATGTTGCCTTCTGTGGTGCTGCAAAGTGCAGGCTTGGATGATTTATAAGGTTTAGGAACTACTTCTATCTGGTTGACGACATGCCAGAGCTTTCAGAAGGTTTTCATTGCAAGCGAAGAGATTAACTACCTCGGTTTAGTCGTGTGCTGTGGGTATCTGATATCAACGGACAGGGCCAGGTTCTGCCTACGCGTGTACAGTTGCCGCAACATGTTCGCTCGTGGGTGGATCATCGAACTTGCTCACCCTGCAAACTTCTGCTGTGTACTACATGTCGAAAAGTTTCAACAGCTAGCTAAATCTTGCAAGTTTCAAGGTTTTCAGTGCAGGATTCCAAAACACATGGGAACATTTCCTCTCGGCGCTTCGTCTCTATATGGTGCATCCTAGGTCCTGGACGCTGAGCCCTAAACGACCTTGTCTAATCAATAATGACCTCGAAATACTAAGTGGTGCCCTCCGGAACCTTCGCAAGATGACTTCAACTACATTGCATAGGCACCACCTCATGCAGATGCTGCGCCAAGCTCTCAGTCGGGTCTTCGCGATCGCGCTATAAGCTCTCACAGCTCAACTGTGAGCCCCAAATCCGAAATTCTGCAGCCTAAAGCCTAAAGCCTTGTCCTTTCAGGCCCTCCAAGCCGGCATGTAAACAAGATCTTTTGACTCGGGGCCTAGCTTCTGGGGCAGGCCCTGCCCTTTACGCCTCGAGTCGCTGCTGATGTTCCTTCCGACGGATAGGGTCAGTTTAGGTTTTGGGGTTGGAGGTTTTTCAAATATTATTCAGCTAAATTGACATTGACATGCAGCCTACAGAAGCACACACCCTAGACTACACTCCCCGATGCAGTTCCGTTTCTATTGGCCGGGTTTACGGCTGGGATCCTGCAATAAAGACACCAAGCCGCCCCATGTAGTTGAGGGTCTTGGTATGTGCCTGTCCTTATACATAAATGACAGTCGAGGTTCTGCGCAGGGTGCATCCCTCAAGTTGCTGAGGGAGGAGGTAACAGCGAAGTGCTGGGTGATCATGTTGGGGTTCAGGGACGAAGCTCCAGGCCTCTAGGCTTCCTGGGCAAGCTTGCTCCTAACTTGGTTCATGGACGTGCGTGGGCCAACATCAAGGTATCAGCGACTTTGACCCGCCATGCTATCATTGCGTCGGTCCGGAAAAAAGCAGCACGCTCCATCTTGAAACAGATTCCTATCCCAAATCATTACAGAAGGGACCGGCCTACATAAGTCTTGTGGCCCGCCTTGAGGAAACAGATGGGTACTAAGTATAGGGCTTACACAAGCTTTGCGGAACTTGAACCCACAAAACAGGTCAGTAGCTCGCTAGAGCCTGACAAGAAGCAAGCCGAGGCCCAAAAATTCAGCCTTTAACCCTCAAGCCCTCACGCTGCGAAGCCGCATGCAAGAAGCTTGAATCCCCGCAACATTCACCTTAAGTCCTCTTTGAGGCCGCAGAAAGCGCCAAAGCAGGCGGACGATTAAAGAGCTTCGGTGCTGGGTGTTGGGGTGCAGTTTCAGTGGGTTCTGGGCTTAGGAGCACCATTTCGAGGTCGAGGTTTATGATGCTGATCTAGCGGCAACACTTTCTAGAGATGCTCGCGATATGAGCTCACATGCTTGAAGGTGTTTGTGTATTGCTTTCAGCTTTGGATGCTCAGGTTTCAGAGTCTACTGTTCTTCATGCTTTTGCGGCATGTAGGTACATACTTCAAGGGTTGCACGGTGTAGTTTTGTTGCAACAACTTCCAGGGTTGCTTGTACCGATCGAAAGACGTCAGCCACCACAACCCACAAAGTGGTCTCTACCGCGAAGTCTCAGACCCGTTCAGCTTGCCGTTTGTTCGGGCCGTACTGCACAAACTGGTTATGCGGCTGATGCGGCGTTGGTGGTTGTGCGAAGCGTTACCAACGAGTCAGTCGCAACGACAATGGCAAACTGCCCTCAAGCTCTAGCCGTGCTGGTCCCGGCACAGCTGATGTTGAGGACCGTCAGCTAAATCAAGCGTTTCTACTAGATCAGCCGTAAGAAGGTCCTTATACCTTACAGCCCGAGCTCTCAACCAGAAGTCGTCCCTAAACACTTTCCCCAGCAACCCAGGATGCTGAGCTATCTACCAACCTGCGATGATGATGCCGATTGTGCTTGCGCTTCGACCTCGATGGTGCATGACTATTCGGTCTGGTCGCCCGTCTCACACAGCCACCTAGATGTTTGCACAGGGGTTTTCGGGTTGGACCAACAATCTGTTAGAGTTGCCCTCCTATCCAATCCTGCAGTCTGAAGCCTTTGACCCGACGTGCAAACACGAGCTGATCACGAATTGCTGTAACTTGCACAGCCTCTATAGAACCCAGGTCTCAAAGTCTGCATCCCGGAGGCTTGCAGCCCAAAAAGTAGTCGACTAGACAGCCTTATCCCAAAGATGTTTATGAAGAGGTGCCGACGAGCTCAGCGCCACCTGCACCCAAAGCATCGAAGGCCGGAACCTGGGAGCTTCGGATTTGAGATGGCATGGTCTCCTCCGGCAATCAGGTTTATTGCGGACGAGGCAGGCAGACATAGAGATGGACAGCGACAGATCGAAAACTCGGTCTTGCATGTACGACCTCTAGACGAGTATTCTGCTGCTTGGAGGTGAGCATGAAACAACTACAATGCGACGTCGAGGAAACCTGATGACGTTCGAAAGAGAAGTCACTCTTTTGGGTTCCCCGGCTGAGGATGCATTGCGAGCGTCACTTATGATTTTCCTCGCACTGCAGCAGAGGAGCATGTGCGGCATGCTGTCGCACTGAGGTGCTTTCTGGCCGACCGATCACATGTAAGCAAGAGCCACCCTACCGGATCAACCCAAGCAGAAGCCTAAATTTCATGTATTTTGAACCACACTGCCCCAAACGTTTCAGATGTTTCATCATTTGGAACGGTCTCGATAAGCAGTTCTGTCATTCCTGTATGGTTCCGATATGTACTTATCTGTGAGTAGGCATGTCTTTGTGCTTGTATGCGAAACCACTGTACACCTGGGGAAGACTGTATGCTGCAGATGTCTGAAAGAGCACAAGATGCAGGGGGCAGAGGAACCTGCAGAGCTCTGCACCACAAAGCCCTCTGCAGTGGTTCAGGATATCAGGGCCGATCACTTTGACGGACGTGCTGGCAACTTCTAATGGCATTGCATAGGCTGAGCCAGCGATTCCGGACGGCAATGGTGTATTGGCGATAGGATTTCATGCTTGTCATTCCTGTTTTCGACTTCGTCTACAAGAAGTAGATGGGCCCCAGACACTCTAAAGCTAGCACACTGGAGGCCGGGCTTCGGCCCTTAATAACCACCGCCAGACTCAAAAGCCCTGACTCGAAACTGCAGGCTGCCTCGAGCAGGGCAGCACCACCGGCACTGAGGCTGAAAATGACCAGCACCTGAATAGAGGTCTGTTGGCCTGTAGTGAGCGTTGATGTTTTGCTGGAGGCTTGCAGCTGCAGTTTTTTGCTGTCTCTGGCTGGAGGTTTGTGACGGTGTGTTTTGGGTTTGGAGCTTGAGCTCTAGGCATGTTCTGGAAGGTCGGAAACTTCTGGAACAGAGGCGATCCGCAGACTATCGTCGTTGTCTCTAAATCCTGACCCCCCAAAAGCTGCCTACGGCAGGTCGCCTCGAAGCATCATGCAAACATGAAGCCGGAACCCCAAACCGCATCTTTCAAAATCCGAAGCCCGAACTCGTAAACCCCATTGAACTAGCAGGCCCGGTGCTGTCGGAATTGGCAGCCACGCGCCCGGGCCAAGCCCTGAGGTCTTCCGAAAGTCTCCGAAGACATGGGCCTCCTTGGATGTTTGAATGCTTGGTTGTTTGGAGTCCAAGAATGCGAGACTCCTAATTAACATTTCTATCATGATCAACTGCAGAATGCACGCCATCAAAACTGCAACAGGGTCTGTCAGTTGTTGTTAAGCCGTGGTATCTCCTGGTATCATAGTTTTGACCACACAGCGATTGTGCTGATTGCGTTCGATGCAATCGGAAGAGCCTAGCCCGGGAGAGTCAGAAAGGGTAATGCTACAGATCATGGGTCAAGAAACTAGCCCTTTATACCTGGTTACCTCAAACTGCCTAGCCCGCAAGATTGGGGTTAGTTGGAGCCACGCACAGGGTCCATCCTTGTGCAGACTTTTGCCCTCCTACGACGTTGGAGCATAATCTGTAAGTTTGGGTTGGCATTTAGGTTTAGTGCTCGTAACTGTGGCTCCTACACAGCCACTTGGCTTGGACTATCAAGGTGCTCGGTGAAGTGTGGGTTTGGAACCTCTGATTCCCTCTGATGCATCCGTGAGGGTGAAGGTGTACAGGCTAAAGGGGTTGGCTGAGCATTTTTTCGGCCTTGGCAGGGGAGGTGCCCCCCGTCCTACATGTCCTACACCCTCCAACAAAACCCTGAGGTCCTAAAGCCCTATGGCCCAGGCTCGACGTGACGGGCCTGCGGATAAGAGCAGGCGTGAACAGTGTGAGAGTCTAACATCGAAGAGATAGAGTCGATAAGCTTGACATGATTTTGTGGGTTGGTGCTTCTAAGTATAGATTTTAGTTATAGGGTTCAGGGCCAAGGTATGACGACGCTCGTGCTCTAGGTCATGGCAGTTTCGTAGTCGTTACTGGCGGGCTTCGGAGGTGGGTGCGTGCGTGTGTGGGGGGGGGGGGGGTGCGTGCACCAGCTGTGTTTTTCGGGGTCCTTGGGCTTCTGGTTGCGGATCATTGATGCTCGTTCGACAAAGTTTGTGCTGCTGGATTGTTAATATCGTTCCAGTACGGAGGTGTACAGGTGTTGCTTTCATGTGTCACTCAAGTGCAGCGATGAGTGTGGGTGGCGAACTAAACATTCTGATACTCCGTGCCCCAAGTCTGAAGACTCGGCGCCAACTCACTTTGCATCACGGGGCAAGTCATGGCCTTCGCGGTCCGGCTCGCTTGACAAGCTGCGGAACTTGCTGCTGTGGTGTGCTGATGTTGCTGCTGTTGGAAAAAGCCCTGAACCCTAAAAAGCTCAGCATATGCAGCAACTTTAAAACCCGGACACCATCACGGAAGAGCTTGGGGTTTCAGGGCTTTGCATGCCTTTCGTGCTGCCTGCTGCTGTGTTGTGCAAGCTTTGCAGCAGCTCTTTCAACTGTGTGTCCTGCCAGCTCATGTGCGATGGCTCTGTGTGTTCGCATTGCACGCTCGCTTTCTTTGCCGTGCAAGCTCCAGCGTGTCAGCCTTAAATCTACAGACGCATGGCCAAGAAGCTCACACTCGTGAAGAAGTCTTGCGATAGGCATCTTAGCTAGCTCCCTTGAAATTCCAGAGCTCCGCATGTTTTCTCCTCAGCATTTGTAGCGAAAAGCCCTGAGCCATGACGGACTCGCCTGTAACTCTAAGGGGTCTGTCAGGGCTTCCTGGTTATGGGGATTTGGGTTTAACATGCTTGGGTGGATAAGTCACGCTCAACAGTTTCCAATCTCGGGGCACTGCGTGAAGGGCTTCGGATCCTGACCGGCCTGATTCTCGAGTATAGTTGGGCTCAATGCCTTGTGTTCACAAGACTGAAGGCAAAGTCAAGAACTAAAGTTGTCTCCGTTGATTTGTTGACGCCAAGAGCGACTCAATGCAGGGGCAGCGCAGACTCGGAGGAATTCAGGCTTTAGGCTGTGACATGCTGCGACTCGGTGCCACGATGAAGGATCGAATCGTTGTGTGCGGAAGGCCATTTACAAGCCCTGCATGCAGCATGTTGCAGCTGAATCGCTCTAGGCTTGGGCCTGTGAATGACTCGACACCCTCAAACCCGAAGGCCCCAGCTAATGCAGTACGAAACTTGCACCTCAAAGCACCCAATGCCCCAAATAAACCAGCAGTGGCTCATCGGATGAAGAAAGGTTCCAAGATTTTCGGTAACACTACGTATGTACTAGGCCGGTGTGAGAACAAGATCTAGATCTGAATATTCTGATCAATCCCCGGACTCCTGCACCTCACACTTAGCCTAAATGTTGCCCTTGGACGCGAGGCGCTGGCAGATGCCTGGCGAGCGTGCCGCTCGTGCAGGCGAAAAATCAGTCTTTGTGCTTAAATGCTTTCATGAGGCTTCCCAGTGTGATTTTGCAAGGGTCTCATGGCGGCTTTCACAAGGGTCTGACAGGACCCTTTCAGATTTCCTGGAAGGCTCTGGAGGGCAACGTTTGTTGGGTTCAAGGTGTGAAGGTGGTCGGGCAAAAGCCCACAAAACACAAGAAACCCCAAGAATTGAAACCTCAACCGTGCTTGGCTCAAGTATTTCCCCCCAGCCCAGAATCTCGAACATGATCTACATGGTTGCACGGCGTTCTGGGCCACTTCAGAAGTGTTCGTTAAACCATACTACTTGCCTATTTATCGTCATCGTTCTATTTCTAAGCTATGGTTCTCGATATATCAGAATACCTCATGCTAGCTTTAATAAGGTAGGGCAAGCCTGCGGCACAGCTGAAGAGCCCCAGGACCGCGCCTACTGGGAAGTGCACGTGGTGGAGGTTCAGAGCTCAGTGCCCCCGTAACCTCAGTGGTAAAAAAGAACCCGCATGCACCTCAAAACGTTATAGTCAAGCCCCTAAAGGCCAATGGCCCGCATGTAGCTCTTAGACCTGGGGTTTACGGTGTAGGGTGTTCACCCCATGTTGCATACTCTAAACCCCGATCCCGTTTTTTGGGTGAATCCGGGGCTTAGAGTTTGAGTCCTACCCTTGCCCTCGTTCTCTACATCACGAAACTTTCTCCGGCTTCGAATCGGACCCTCCTCCAACAGGCTTATATACAGTTCAAGCCTGGGCAAGGGGTGTAGTGCAGGGTTTCGGGGGTAGGGTTTGGGGTCGAGGGTTTGGTGGGTTTGGGTGCTTAGGGTTTTCAGACGTGGAGGGGGGAGCGAAGAGCTCTGCCTCTGCCTCTTTCTCTCCCTCTCCCGGAAAGCAACAATACTTGTGAAAGCTCTGTGCGGATGTGCACTTTAGTAATGCGGAGCATGTGGATTTGAATCCAAGCCTCGCCGCTACTGTGCGACGTCCCATCGCTGGCGAGTGCGTTACCAGTTTGCCTATCTTGGATGCGTCCATGCATGAAAAAAGCATGGACCTGTGTGCATGCATCTATATGTGGGCTTTCGAATTTCAACATGCCATTGCGGAGTCAGCAAAAAAACTTGGAGTCATTGTTTAAAAAAACTTGCTATCCTGCGCTCTTAACCATACATCCTATCCTGTCTACACTCGATGCACGCAAGACCGCTCCTGAGGTGTCGGACGGGGCATCCCTCCTGGCTGGTGTCGCGCCGAGAGGCAGTGAGCAAAGCTCACCACTTGGGTTGTCTCTTATTAAGTACCGAAGCTTGGCAGTGGAAAATTCAGTGATGCTTTCCAATAAGAACACAGTCTAGGTTGAATGAGCAAATTTCTTCTGGGCTCGTTGGGTGTTTGCAAAGCGTTGGTCTCCATGCGAAACAGAGGGCTCAAGCTGTTTGGCTTCCGGGCTGCGGGCTTGTTTCATACAAGGTTCGGGCGGAACTCCACATGATCTATAGGAGTTCTGCTTCAGGGCCGGCCAGTGTTAACGTGTCACATTTGCATTGCTCGCATGAAATCGGCGCAAGGAGCACGAGGCTTCTAGCTGATGTTTGTTTAACTTCCAAGATTGTCAAAGCAAACTTGATGGTAAAAGAGTGAAGCTCAAGTACTTACCACTAGCTGAACCAATCAGGGCTGAACCGCATCTCTTCAGAAGGCATGTGTATCCTCTCGTGCAGTTTGTCGAGGTTTCCTCCGTGACTTTGAGCCCGAAGGTGTATCCATGATCCCTGAGCCGCAGTCCTGCACCCCGAAATTGAATTTTTGCGGCTGGTGCTTAAGAGTTCTACCCCCAACTGGTTCTACAAATTGCGGCGAAGTGCGGCGTAGGTTTACATCGCACACTTGTTTGGTTTACGGGTTTCTACACCCAGCGATGCTAAACCAGGGCCGGACGACCATCTCCAAGAGAGGCAGGCGACCCAAGACTCAAGATGTTGCGACCTAGGGACTTCATGGCTGTAGAACTTTACTGCTCTAGGCAAGGCTTTTCGTGCTTGTTCGGACTTGAACTCTCATGGCTTATTGAGATTATAAGGGTCCGGTCCGGTGAGTCTAGATGCGGCAAACGCGTCTGCTCCGCAGGTATGTCGGGACGTTGGCCCTGTTGTCTACTGTTCCCACAACCGTTTGGTCCCCGCGCAGTTCCGGGTCGCTCGGTCTTCTGATCCCGTGGTCTGGTGGCCCTCATTTTCGTATGGCGCAGCGGAGCTTGTTTTTCCTAAGTGCGAGGGACGTTTGCTTTCCAGTTCTGGCCGGCCCTGTGGAGGCTGTGGAGGTCTGGAGCCATGGACGACCTCTGCCTTCAGCTTTCCTTGAGAACGTACCGTCCAGACTGCCCGAGTGGCGCGAAAAGAGAAGAACTGATGACGGAAGCAGACAAGGTGAAAGCAAAGGAGCAACGCCGAAGAAGAACACATAACTAGTATTCAAACAGAGACCACAGGACTTTTTTGAAGAGCGACGCGAGGAACCAAACCCACTTTTTATCGCCGCCTTCTGCCTTCGGAGGCCGTGCGACGGATTTGTTTTTTGCTTTCGGAGGGTGCTGGCTTCCTGGTCCTGACGCGAATCCTATTGCTTCCGGCCCGCCCTGGGCCCCGTACTTTCCTGTGTGACCGGATTTTTGTTTTGCGGCAGGCGAATATGGAAATTCCTCGAGTCAGAGGTTGTTTGTCAAAAGCTACATCAATCAAGTTTCCCCCCGGCTTCGCAGCAACTGCTCTCACTGTCGCAGGACCTCTGAGAGCTTAAGCTTCGAACCCCCTACCCTACCCCGAAAGCCTTAACCCACGATCGGCTTGTGACCGTTAACTTCAAACCTCAAATCCGAAAGCCTCTAAATCTTTCATGCCGAACCCCCTAAACCTCCGGGCTCCCTGACCCCAAATTCAAAGTTTCAATGCTGAAAGTCCTTTCAGGCTAGGGGCCACGGCTCGGTCCTACGGCGCCGAGCCCCTTCGGCGTCGTTTGCATCGGCTGGGTTGGAAGGGTTGAGGTGGCTGACTTTAGTGCAGGAAGTTCAGGGCTTTACAAGTTCGGAGGTCGAGGCGTCAGCTGTGAATTGTTATATCAGAAAGTTTATGTAGTTATTACGGTTAGTTAGGATTGCAGGTTTTCGCTTGTGGGTTTAGGGGCACAGTGCCTTTGATGTTTCATCTGGATGTTGCCAAGCCTGGTCTACGATTGCTATAATCATGACTGACGTTATTGTTATTATGGTTAGGAAAATTACTATTATAATCACTGCTGTGATTGTTGTTCTTACCGTGGTTCTTACTACTACTGTTGTTATTGCTAGTACTGTAGTTACTATTCCACTGCCATTTCTATCATTACTGTTTCCATTTTCAGTATGATTGTCATTGTTATCACTACTACCATTGTA